TCCTGAAGGTATTGAATATTTACTAAAATATGTAACTTGTTTACCAAAGGAAGTGAAAATATTAAAAGAAAAAATAATTAAACGTATACAGTATATATCAATTGAAGAAAGTATTGGAAATAATATTTACCATGATGAAAAACTTGATATTCTTAATATTTGTATTAGAGAAATGGAAAAATTAATTGATATACCTATTAAAGGTGCAGATTATTTATCATCATATGTTTCATGTTTACCAAAGAAAATTATTACAGGTTCAGGAATTGTTAATTTTCTTTTGAATTGTTCAAATTTACCTGAAATTTTCCTGGTTATAATTATTTAGGATAGAGAACTAAGTTAAAAAAAAATAAAAAACCTAAAAACAAATTAGATGAAGCAGCGAGAGAACATGATTATTTTTATAAAGATAATAAAGATTCTAAAACAAGACATATTGCTGATAAAATTTTAGAACAAAAAGCAATGGAAAGATTTTATGATCCTCATAGTTCTATAGGTGAAAAAACTGCAGCCATTTTTACAGCAAATGTAATGAATGTTAAAAGACGATTTGGAATGAATTTAATTTAATTTAATTTAATTTAATTTAATATTTTGTATTATAAAATGAATCTAAATTTAAATAAAAAACAATTTAATAAAATATTGAAAGCTCATAAAAATAATAAAGATGTATCAATTCTAATTGAAAATAATCAAATTGATAGTGGAAAACATAAATTTATTCTTGAACCAGAACAAATAAGAAAATTTTAAGAAAAGTTTTGGCTAACTTCAAAAGTAAACTACGTTTCCATACCGTATCGTAGGCGCAAGACAGTTCTAGGAAAACAGCTCCCGATTTTAGTTTCTTTTGAAACCCGTTTTCTATAAACGTCGTCAGTGATAGTACTGGTTCACTGCAGCTTCTTCCCTGTCTGAATCCCGCCTGTTCTGCTGGCAGGTGTTCTTCGATTTTCTTTTGGATTCTTAGTAGGAGTACTCTTTCAAATAACTTGTAGACAACGGATAACAGTGAGGTCGGTCTGTAGCTTTTTGGGTCATCATCAGGCTTACCAGGTTTTAATATTGCAACTACTTTAGCTTCCCGCCATTGTTTTGGTAAAGTATTGTTATTTTTTACTGATGAAAAAAGTCTTGCTAGCCAAAATTTCCCTTTAATCCCCATATGTTTGATTAATTCCGGAAGTATACCATCTTCACCTGCAGCTTTACCGTTTTTTTGGACTCTTAGGGCAGCCTCCACTTCCTCCACTCCAAAATCCTTCATGTTTTCGGATTTCTCTGCACATAATTGAAGCTCTTCCTTGTAATTAGCTTTCACCTTTATCTTATCGGGTTTTTTGGGTTTTATATTAGCGGTTTTATGAAGAATGGTTGAGATGGAGTTTGGCGAGATTTTGCTACATTTCCATGAGGTTTGAGCTGCCCCCAGTTTCCTTAGTAGAGACCAACTTTCCCTACTCGAGTGGGTGAAATCCATCTCATTCATAGCCTGTGTCCATCTGTTCCTTCGCTCCTCGTCAAGTAGGGCGATGAGTTTGTCGGCATTTATTTCATTTCCATCCCTTTCATATTCTTTTAGTCATTCTTCGCATTCCTTAGTCCAGCAGGGGTATAATTATGTCTATTGCCTCCAGGTATCGATTTCTTCGCAGTTGTCTTTATTAGGTTGATGAATCTGTCATAGTTGTCAGGTATGGGATCAATACGGTTATCATCAACGTATTTTCTGACCATGCTGCTTTACGCAGGTTCCAGCGAGGCATAAAAGGTTTGTCTATGGTTGGGATTATAAGACAGATGGTCACGGTGGTTGGCAAGTGTTGGCTTCTTGGGAAAGGGTTTTTGGTTTCTCTGTTTACAGTTAGAGGTAGGCCATTAGAGACATCGGACACGAAACAGAGATCTGGTGACGTCATCGGACCCCATCTACCAGATTTAAAAGTGCCTCCTTGTTTGGCATCAGATCAGTTTATGGTGGTTAATTGCTGCGAAACCAATTATTTGAAAAATTATCGAAACCATTTATTTTTAGGCGGTTTGTTTCACCATAAGGTATGTGGATCTCTTGTAACACCAATACATCCATGTCAACAAATCTTTTCAACAAAATGTCATCCTTGGCTCGAGTCAAGCCTTCCTCGTTAATCTGAGTTATCTTGAAATTGTTCTCTACCGTTCTAGTAACTGCAGTATCACAACGTGGCTGATTGTCATGTATTTTTTTGGATTTTTTATACATTTTTTTGTTGAGTTTGTTTTTCCGTTTTTCCACGTGTGTCCCAGTTGGGTAGAACTGAGAAGGGCTATTTTCACCCAAAAGACCGGTAGGTCTTTCGACGTTCGGCCGCTTGGTTTAAGCTCTTTGGCTTCGTGTTGTCATACTTGTGATATCTTAGATCTTCATATTTGTTTAATGATCTTATATTATATGACATACATGATAGTGGCTTGTTATCTCTTATTATTCTAAAAAACCTTGGATTTAGTGCACAACTTGGTGTCCTAAGTCTGGAAATCTCATGTTCAACTTTTGATGAAGATTTTGGTGGCTTTGCGGGAATGTGGTCTATACGCAAACCTTGTGACGAAGTTGCTCGACTACATTCAACGTACAGCATATTGCATATCAATCATTTTTTGGCTATATGAAATGCTACGAATTAATACTTGGGGCCTAGACTTTTGTGTACCGTCAATGCCAAAGCTTCCACAAAGAGCAGTTGCATTCTCGTTACTTTATGGTGCGCTGCATCGCCCAATTGAAATTCTAATTTTCTGATTTCAATTGGTGTCCACTTACACATATCGTCTGTGTGTTCGCCTTCAGGTTTCAGTTTTTTTATACTCTAATGTCTAGTCATCGATCTCACTTCTGGGTCATCGAACTTGATCCAAACTCTTTTAGCAACTTCTTTACCTCCTACAGTTTGCCCTTTGTTTATTTGCATGAGATCTCCGATGGCACCGTTGACTATGCCGTCTTTGGTTGAAATGTTGGCTATCACCATATACTTGGCCGGTTTCTTAAAACTAATCTTAAAGGTAATACCATAGTCTTTTGGCTTGGCAGATTCAATATCCTATCGTTTTGCGGACGTATCAATTGCTTCAGAAATGAAACCGACTTAATTCATAGAGATAATCACTCTTCTATTAATTTTGTCGACTTCGATGTTTGTAGCTCAGAGGTGCATAACTTGTGGTTGAAAAGTAACGTCTAACTGGCTTACGAGATTTTGGATATATTTCACATCAGCTTCCTCCAACTGTCCTCTGACCAACTTTGTTAACATTATTGCAAATTGTTTGTTATCTTTTTGGATTATCATTTCGCATTATTTGGTAGCAAAATTGATTCAATGGGAGTTTGAACGCAGAATGAAGTTTCAGACCTCTTATTCCATAAGCTGCTTTGCCTGTCGGTGCTGTGAGTAATACTGGTGGATCTGTTAGATCGTCTATATCTGGGTTAGATTTTCTATGCGAATTACAGACTGTGCTAATATAAGCATTGACTTACCAGCTCCTGCTGGACCAGTGACAAACGCCTTTATCGCAGGATTGCCTATGCCCCAAATTTGCCTTCTTAAGATATGAGTGGTATGATATAAGAGTTGGCGTTGACCGTCGTTTAAACATCTGATCAGGTCATTGTACTCTTATTTTTCCGCCATCTTTAGGTTTATCAACATCTGGAGTGTTTTTAGTTTCTACATAATCTCCAACATCATTTAGTACTTCATCGTCTGGCACCCAATCCTTATCTTCTTGAATCAGATTATTGTTATGGCCTTGTTCCGCTTCTATTTAATTTTCATCATTGTCTAGTTAATTTTCTTCGACATGATTAAACTGTTTGTACAGGTCTTTTATTCGATCAATTTTCTTTCGTATACTTGTTTACAGTTAATATTTAATAAATCAACTGTTTCATCGCGCCATGGCAAAAATAACATAACGCGGTGTGTGTGTATAGTCACAGTTTAATTGTCCAGTTGTACGTTATTATATATTATACTTATACATAATCATATTGTCGTGTTATTACTTATTTTATTAATGCTAACATCATTAGTCCGTCAAGCTTTACTTTCAACAATTATCTATACGATTTAAAAATGTTTGTATATCTTTAATACCCATATTATTTTTAATAATATATGTTTTTAATCTATTCTGAAATTATGTTTCTTCAGTTTTCAAAATAGGTCGAATCATGTTGTTTTTTTCAAACATTTTTGAACTAAAATTGAAAACTCTATGTGGTTTGGGTACTATCTCTCTTGGTATTCTTGGTCTTGATATTCTTGGTCTTATACCATTATTTTGATGACGAATAGACTGAAAATGTTTAGACCAACTGTTAAATTACAAATATCACAAGTTATATCTGCAGGTCTTTGTATTCTCTCTTGTCTTGTTCTTATATTTGTTGTTGTTGTACCCCTGTATGTTCCTCTAAATCGAGGCATAATTGTTTGATCTGGATCATTGTTTTGATGACGAATAGATTTCAAATGTCTAGACCAATTTTTGTAACTAACTGTTAAGTTACATTTATCACAAGTTTAATATCCATTTTATTTATACGTTCCATTTATTATAGAAAATATTATTTTTTTTTACATTCAATTTTTAAAAAAAAAAATTTTATTAAAAATAACATTTAAATGATATTAAGATAACATACTAAATTCACACATTTTAATATTTCCTAAATCTTGAACAATATTAATATCATCTAAATAATAGTGATTATAATGCCCTGTTGCAATAATTAAATCATTAGCTATTTTACAAAGTTCTAACCAATTTGGTGAGTGCAATAGTTTAGAAATATAAGGATTTCCATTTCCAAAATCAACATCTCCTTGACTAATAATGAAAATATTTCCATCACTTGAAATTTTATTTAGATTATATTTAACATTCTCAGAATTTTCATAGTATTTAAAAACACAAAATTTCACAAAACATTTTTTTTTTTTAATGCTTTTTTTATATTATTTTTTATTAATTTCAAAAAATTATATCAATATATTTAACTAAAGGTTCAATTTTATTTAATCCTTCCATTCTTAATTATATAAAATACTAGCTGATCCCGTGCACTTCGTTGCCCATTAAAAATACCAACTCTATAAGAATAAAATGTTTTATTTTATAATATAACGGTTACCATAACAGCAATTTTAAACCAATTATTATTATAATTATAGCTTTGAAACCCGCGGTGACCATATATAAACAAAAATCTCAAAATCCCTGTTTGAGCACGTCCCGGTGTTGGTCCTCTCCCCTTTTAAATTAGCCTATCTTCTGCCCAGAGATCTAACATGTCTATATGTATAAAAATATTTGATCCCGAGCACTACGTTGCCCATTAAAATTGACAACTCTATATTAATAATATGTTTTACATAAAACAATATTAAAGGTTGCCATGGTAATGCGGACACACACGGACTATATATATAAAATATCTGATCCCATGCACTTCGTTGTCCATTAAAGACCTATAATTATGATTATAATAGCTACAACACTCATGGTAACCATGGTACCTTTGGTAACCATGGTAACATTGGTAACCATGGTAACTATGGATCATGGTAACCTTAATAACCATGAAACCTTAGTAACCTTAGTAACCATGGCAACCTTGGTAACCATGGTAACATGGACACACAGACACACACACTGACATACATTCATTTTTATATATATAGACTAGCTGATCCCGTGCACTTCGTCGCCCGTTAAATGGATCAACTCAATACTACCTACTCAAACTTTGTTCAATTCATTAACGTGTATGGTGTTCAAAATTTATCTTATCTTTCCCGTTGCCCTGAATAAAAATTCTGAATCGCAGCAGTACATTATCAGGTAGGCAATCTACCTGCGGTAGATCGCGGACCCCGTGCTGTTTGTACGGAAGTGTATGATTTAACTCTAAAGTATCAAAGTTATACCAAGTTTATTTTGATATAATAGGGTGGATTAATATAACAAATTTGGTTGCTCGTAAAAAATCGCAACTCTTCAAAAAATTATGATTGTTGAACTCCTTTTGGGTGTAATTTTCTGCGGTAAGTGCAACTCTGCCACCCTGGTAAGCATTGTTCAATAATTCGATTTGATGCAAGCTTGTACCTGATCTGCCCGAATAACCAATGGCAACCAATAAATAAATGCTAATTTCTAATGTAGACTGTAACCAATGGCAACTATAAATAAATAAAAATAAAATTTCCAATTTCTATCGTGAATCTCAATGTCCCTGTTTCAGCACCTATTTAAAATGCGAATTTTGGCAAATCCTTTCTTAGCGCACGTCTATATTATAATAGCTATCTGTATGCCAAATTTCAGCCAGATCCGTCCAATGGTTTGAGCTGTGCGTTGATAGCAGTCAATCAGCTTACTGTTTTTTATATACAGATATGGTTGCCATGGTAATATGGACACACACACACACACACACACACACACACTGACATACATTCATTTTATATATATAGATTGATATGAAATCTTGGTAACCTTAGTAACCATGGCAACCTTGGTAACCATGGTAACATGGACACACAGACACACACACTGACATACATTCATTTTTATATATATAGATTATTA